ACCTTGAGTCCATTTCTAGAAGTTCTTATAACCTTCTTGTACTAAAACTCATATCAAGTATGATCTCAGTAAGTCAATTAACCATTATTTGTTTGATTCCTTGTGGAAGAGAGAGAGATAGGGAATCCTATGACATATATATGTGCTTTCAAAAGGGAGAAAAAAAACAAAGAAAAGATAAAGAGGGATGCAAAAGCATTGATACTCCATTCTTTTTAACTTTGTTGACCATACGATCGACTCATTTCACTCTCTATGTTTCAAGTTTCAACTATATAAACTGTTTATGGTATTTATCATTATACTAAGTATCCAATTTCAGGAAAAATATAAGGGTAGGGTTTTTGTGTTTGGGGATGCATCTTAAAGTGAGTCCATCTTCCTAAAGTCCATCTTGGAAATGGATCTCATGGATTTTAGATCCAAATTTTTGTAAATCTGTCATTTATACTATCATGAGTTTGACAAAAACAAAAAACAACTTTAAATTTTTTAAAATAATATATTTTCTGTTTTATTTTATTGTATTTTAGAGATTGTTCATCTCAACTATTCAAGGCCATCATATCTGCATTGTTTTTGAAGTTCCAAATTCATGCATCTCAGGGGGGTAAATGTGCTTCGGGTCGTAAATCGCTCGAAAAAAAAGCACAGCGCATGAATCAGCCGAGTCACCAAACACCTTCCCAAAGAATAATAACCTCAATAATACTTCTAAGTACTTAATTTGATTTCTCAAACTCGAATGCCAAACTTTCGATTGTTACTTTGTCAATAATAAAGAAAAAGTGCAAAGAGAAATTTTTCAATATACGCATAAAAGTTGAACTATTTAATATTTTACCCTAGGTCTAATTTAATAACTTTTAAAACCAATGTGTTTGACAATTTGTTTGGAATTAGATAAAAAAAAATGGTGAGCTATTTGAAGTTACATAAAAAAAACACAAGCAAGGTGCTAAGTGGTTCAAATCTTAGAAGTGATTTCGTTAATTCCCTAATTTCTTCCCAGTTGAGAGATAATTAGTGAAAATTAATAAGACGCCATTTTCATCTTTTTTGTTCTTCAGAGCCAAAAGTTTGCATACTCCCACAAGAGCATACAATCTACGATACCAAGCATAAGAAACTACTTTATTATAATCTACGATACCAAGCATAAGAAACTACTTTATTAAAAGGAAGAGGGTTTGGGCTTGAGTGCCAGTAATATTTGACATTAACAATGCTACATCTCAAAATTAGTGGTTTTTTATATGAGATTCGATTCCCATTGTTGAATTACCCAAAAAAACTACTTTATTACTAAATATAAATAAACAAATTATTTTAATTTTTAAAAAATCAAGGGAACATTTAGGCCAAATTTGATAACAAAAAAAATTGAAAAAATAGCTTGTTTTTTCAGTTACCATACTTTCCCCTATTTGGGAATGGGAAAGGGCAGGGAAATGTGGAGCCCCACGTTTCTCCAAGTTTCCATATTTTTCTTCATTTTTGGAGAAAACTACAACACACCCTAAGGGGTGTGCTGCTTATTTCTCAGGAAAAGGGAGAAACATGAGACCCCCTCATCCCTTTTTATTCCTCACATTCTCTCTACCATTTCAATATCTCTTTGATCATGCTGTAGCCCGAGTTTCTCTGGTTCTCACAGGCCAGAGTTTTCTACTATTTTTTTTTTTTTCACAGACTTCTAATTTCTCAAAGATTCTATAAGAAAACAGCTTTCTCAGTTGTGAAACATACCTTATCAGCAAAAGTCGTAAATTGTTTAATGGTTTTAGGAATGTAGGGTCACGCTTTATCCCAATAAAGAAGAGAATAAAAAAAGAAGCGAACAAAAAGGTCTCATATCCGTTTGGAATTTCCTTTAAGAGGTGAGTTCTCTCTCTCTCAAAATCTCTCTCTCATGCTTAAGGATACATTTGGAATTCCTAGATAGGGGTGGCAACAGGTTGGGTCATTTCTGATACGGCCGGCCCATACCCAGACTTGAAAAAATGATCTACAATCGGACCCAAACCAAGACCCGAAAATTTAGTGTGGGACTCAGACCCGATCGGGCACTATATTTAAATCATATATTGGGACCTGAAAAATATTACCAGACCTATTCTCTGACCCGAAAAGTGTTCAGGTCTAAAATTTGAACCCATACCCGATCCATGGGTCCAATTTTTGGATCCAATACCCAAACCCATATCGAATTTATCCCTTGGGATCCGGGTCGGATTGGATCCCTTGCCACCCCTATTCGTAGAGAAGCAAGTCTCTGTCTCCTCCTTCATGAGACACTCTCTCTATTTTTTCTCTCTCATGGCCATGCCATGGATGGAGGTGGGCATAAAATAGGCATATGGATGCCTTCATGTCCGGCACAAAACGAGACCTCGAATCATATCCTTTCCTTTTCCTCTAACTTTTCAGCTTTAGCACATCATACCACAAACCATGGAATCATGAAACAATTCATCCACACTTATATTTTCATTGAAAAATAGTAAAATACCACTATTTCTCATTTCTTTAGTGTTATCTTTAGGACCCACTTGGCACGCATTCATTTTCTTTTTCTACATAAACCCTAAAAACCAACTTTCAAAAGGGAAAACAAAATAAATAAATAAAAAAGATAAATCCTAAAAACCACTAAATTTTTTATATTTTTCCAAAGGGCCATAGCTTTTGAGAGCTTGGGGCATATCCCCTTGATGATCAAAGTGGCTAAAACACTAAGAAGGAGTGCTCTTAAATAATTGGAACTAGCTGGTGACACGTGCATCTCCTGACAATTTTTATTTTTTTATTTTAAATAAAATGAAGTGAAACTCATGAAAATCGAATAAGAAAAGAAAATTCATGAAAATGCATCCCAAAGATGACTATTTAACATTTTCCTTCTTTTTTATTTAATTTTAAGTACACACTTTCACCAATAGATATAGTTGAAACCGGGTAAAATATTAAATAGTTGATGGGTTATATGTATTTTAATAAATTTCTCTGAAAAAAAAAAAAGATGTATATTTGCGAAAACACAAAAAAAAAAAAAAAAATAGAATAGAATTAGGAAACTTTAGAAGGAAAATGTGACTGTATGCATACATTAGCAAAGATAACAGCTCTTTTGAGAGAGAGAGAGAGAGAGAGCAATCACATTGTTTTTTAGCTCCCCAGTTATTTCCGATAAATTCTCCAGTAACTCATATGAAATTAGTGCCATTTGGGGAACCTGTCGATCCGAGTCAGCTTGCCGATTCCTGAGTAGGCTCATTTATTTTGTAAGGAGAAAATTGTAAAAATAGGAATCCAGGTTAAAACAATTTGAAAAGAAAAAAAATTACCCAAAAAATATATTAACAATAATGATTCTGCGTCGGATCGAAAAAATTTTATTACTAATTCAAATACCTTGTATCTCTTATACAAGTGAGGAGGACCCTAGGTCATTGTCAAAAAAAAAAAATGCCATGGTCCCCTTTGGAAAGTAAAAAAGGCAAGGGTAGTTACTTCATTTTGTGAAAAATTGGAGTTGGTTTCCTAATTTCGACCTTTTCTTATGTTGAGTGATGCCCACTTGGAAACATCAAAATTAAGTTACTCAAAGTCAAGGCTGCTAGCATTTGCCATCAAGAATTGGGTTCTTTGGCAGAGGGAATCTCTCTCTCTCTCTCTCTCTCTCTCTCTCTCTCTCTCTCT